TCTGCATGGAATTGAATTCTTTGAACAATTTCTTAAGGGGACCACCAAAGGAACATTCCTGTGAAAGTTTGGATGAAATTGGCTTAGCGGTTTTTGAGATATTGTTAAAAAGTTATGTGACAGTGAGCTCATAAATCCTGTATGGGCAAAAGTGTTTGTTTGTTGTTGTTGTTGTTGTTTTTTTGAGGGGGGGGGGGGGGGGGGGTTACATCGTCACAGTATAGGTCATATCACAACGTTCCAGCTTTACTGGTGGAGGAAGACCTCAAATGCCCTTCTGTGCATTATTTCAGGCACAAACGAGAACCTGAGTAGAACCTACAGCCGTTCCGTAAGCTAGCTGGATAGCTTCTTCAAATGAAAGAATCCAAAGTCCCTGTCGGGATTAGAACCCACAGCGTTGAAGGGCAAGTGGTTTGAAGTCAACGACCTTAACCACTCAGCCACGGACGCCCCTAGGGCAAAAGTGTAAGAATCTATTTTTAGCACTGGTGACCTTGACACAAATGACCCCTAACTCCACCCGAAGAAAAAAACCCTAATTTTATGTTCCTTGTAACCAAATATAAGAGACATTTGTCAATAGAATAAGGTTAAAAATTTTTGTGGTTAATGAGATATGACATAGTCACATTGTACAAGTTGCAATTAAACTTTAATTAAAGTGTAACACCGGTGCTGATGCCCAGAATAATTTCTTAGAATAGTTGAGCTAAAATAGCTTAGGATACACACAATTCTAAATTCTAGCTGACAGAATGGTTGTCTGCTTTGGTTTATACAGAATTTATTTTAATAATAATAATAATAATAATAAAGACTTTATTTAAAGAGGCAACATAGTTAGGCAAGCCCAGTCTTCCCTATGAGCCTCTATCAAAAATGTACATATATACAGTTACAAACAAAGACTTATATAAACAAAGAAAGAAAACTAAATGTATACAAGTTATACAACAAAGAAAAGTTGAGTAATTGAAAAATGCAATAAGAAAATGAATACAAACATTTGAAAGTATGAAATTGTACATTTTATGAGACATACATGTATATATGTGATATTAAAACATAGCTAGATTATTTGGTGCCCACCAGAGAACCACCATTTAAGATAATTTGTTTTGAATGTTTGTAAGTTGGAAGAATTTCTTATGTTTAAAGGGAGGGAGTTCCAAAATTTTGAGCCTGAATATGATAGGGATTTTTCTGCAGAATTCAATTCTTGGTTTGGGGACTAAAAGAGTTTTTGTTCATATGATCTTAATGATTTATTTTCTGTATTTGTAAAAAGATTTTGCATATAATCAGGGAGAAGATTGTTTAGGGACTTGTATACTAAAATGGCCTTTTTTATAATTCACTCTATCAGAGAATTTCATCCAGTTCAATTCAGAAAATAACTCATCAGTAGGCGCATCAAAATCTTTATCAAGTATTATTCTTGCTGCACGTTTTTGAAATTTATACATGTCGTTTAAGAGTTCCTTACTGCAATTACCCCCCAAATAGTGCAACAATAGTCTAAATGAGGAAGAATGTAAGCATTAAAGAACATTTTTCCTAACCTGAAGATTTAGAAATGGTTTAATTCTCAGAAGTAGATATAGTAAGGAATTGCATTTATTCAGCGTCATCTTGACATGTGTTTTCCAATTAAGTGTATGATCAACATGGACTCCTAAAAGTTTTTTCTGTTTCTGAGAATTGAATGCTTTCATCTTGCAGAGTGATGTTGAAATCACTAGAATTATTGATGATATTGTAGATATTATGTGAAGGGGAAATAATCATTGCTTTTGTTTTTTTGGCATTTGGAATCATTGAATTTCTGGTACACCATTGTTGAATAGAGTCAAGGTCAGACTGAAGATTTATACAGATTGAATTGATAGCTTGTCCAAATACTGTAATGGAAGTGTCATCAGCAAACATATTTGAAATGGAATGTGATAAGTGCAAAGGCATGTCATTTATGTAAATAATGAAAAGAAGAGGGCTAAAACTGAGCCTTGAGGTACACCAGATGTAACATCTTGAGCATTAGAGTATTTTCCTGACACACATACTTGTTGTGAACGATTACTTAAATATGATCTGAACCAAGAAATTGAATTTTTATCTATTTTATACAATTTTAGTTTTTTTAATAACAATTCATGATTGATTAAGTCAAATGCTTTTGTAAGGTCAAGAAATATTGTCCCCTATAAGTTTCTCTTCATTTATTGCTTTAATCCAGTTGTCAACAATTGAAGTTAGAGCCGTTTCACAAGAATAATTTGTGCGAAAGCCAGATTGATTTGGTTGAAAAAGAGAGTTAGCTTCAAGAAATGATTTTAGGTGATCACTAACATGTCTTTCTAGAATTTTTGACAGGACTGGTAGTATTGAAATTGGTCTGTAATTGCTTACTTCATTCTTGTTGCCCTTCTTATGTATAGGTGTAACTTTTGCTTTTTTAAATATTGAAGGAAATATGCCATTTGATATACTGAGATTAAATATCATGTAGGAAGCTATAAGCTTAAGTTGTCTTTTTTCTGTCCTTAACAGTAACAAGAGGGCCATGATGGCCCTGAGGTCGCTCACCTGTATATAGGCCCCTGGAGCAGGGCCAGTTTAAACCCCGGGCTTATATTTGAACAAACTTGGAAGACATCCATTAGAACATGTTTCATGCTAAATATCTTAGCTCTAGCTCTTTGAGATTTATTAAGTTTTTACTATATGCATATACATGGGTGGAAGTTGGAAATCTTGTCAATCCTGAAAATTGAGCTGGGGGCCCAGGGGCCGCCAGGGCCTTCGGTGAGTCCAGGGCAAAGCCCTGGTAGGGGGTCCAGGGGGACGAAGCCCCCCGGAAGCTCCTGGGAATAAGTGGTTTTGACTGCTTGTACAGCGCTTTTCCAGGGTTATATGATTGCCAAAGACTGACTTATTATCATGCAGAGAATGCATGATTTTCTGTTCACAGCTCTTGTTCATGGATATACCCTAAACATACTCTTTGATGTAGATTTAGAATGAAACATAACCTTCAAAATTTAGCAACATTTTTATTCTTGTGTCCATGTAATTGATATTAACATTATATATTATGCACATGCAAAAAAAATGCATGATATCACCATTGATCATAGGTTAAGAGCATGTAGGCAATCAGTGCGTGGCTTGGATAGTATACATGTACATTTAAGGGGAGCGGTGGCCTAATGGTTAAGGTGTCTGCCTCTCAACCCAGAGATCATGGGTTCGAGCCCTACTCGGGTCACGACCATGTTTCTTCATACGACACCAGTACTGGTTGGTTCCAGGAAGCGGACTCGAAAGTGATTAATATAAGTTGCAAGAACTTGTTTCGCAATCGAGCTTAAATAAATATGTTTAAACCATGTACATGACCACGCCCACTTATTTTTTATAAAAAAAATTTTTTCACTAATAAAATATTTTTTCATTCAAATTGTTTTTAAGATATCTTATTTTCAATAAATCAACAAAGGAAATTTGTTTTTAAAAAATTCATCCATATATACTATAAATATAGTAAAGGTAGAAAGGTTCTCCAGCGGATCTACCACCAGGCCTTATGTTACCTCCCAGATCTTTGTTAATTGTCAACCAATTTTCACCAAATAAAGTGCAATCTACGCAGAAATGATTTCTCTTTCGATAAATGTACAATATTAGACCAGTTGGTATGACAAAAGATGGAATTTTAAAGCGAAAATGCACTTTTTGTCTAGGTCGGTCATCGCTTGACCGAGCCAAAAGTAGACGATTTTGAACATAAATTGATCTTTTTCTTAATAACAAACTAATGTCAGTGCATGCAAACAGTTGAAACAGAAAAGGCAGCTATAATACTATCGCTTACCGGTCCAAAGTTAATCAAAAACGTCTGTAGGTACGCACTTTCAGTAGTTATTTGCACTAACTTTTTAAATTTCCCGACATTGTACATGTATACAAATCCTGATCCGTATATTCAAAGTACACATGCTCAGTTCCCGCTGGTACCCAGCTTCGCTCAATCTTTATTATGCGCATCAGGTACATCAGGGTCAGCATTTGTATACATGTAATGTCGGGAACCCAGCTAGTCTATTTACGGCCATAGCCGAACGCGCTCCAGGCTATCTCCTGAAAATGAGCACCTTGCAATGACAAATCGTTACTAAAAATAAAGCGCAAAACAGATCGAGTTACTGGAATTTACTTTTGTTTTCGTTTCAACAGTTTAAAAGTCGAAGTCAGGGTTGAGGTAGGCCTATACCCCCCCCCCCCCCCCTAAATCTCAACGGATTTACGTGTTTTGGAAAAGTGATCTCTGAGGACACCGAAAATCCAGAGCATTCCGGAAAACTTCCACCCATGCATATAGGGTAAATCAATGACCCCCTGGGGCGGGGCCAATTCTGACCCCAGGCCTTTTATTTGAACAAACTTGGTAGAGTTTCATGCCAAATATCTAAGCTCTAGCTCTTTTTGTTTTTTAAAAGAAGATATTTAAAGTTTGTTCTTTCGGTTGACATGGCAACCAGAGTTCTGCATGGAATTAAATTCTTAGAACAATTTTTTAAGGTCACCACCACAGGAACATTCCTGTGAAGTTTGGATGAAATTGGCTTAGTGGTTTATGAGGAGACGTCATTTAAAGTAAAAGTTTACGGACGAAGGACGGACACCGGACAAAAAGCGATCATAAAAGCTCACCCTGTCACTTTGTGACAGGTGAGCAAAAAATCTTAGATGAAGTAGGAAATTTACAGGTTCTCAAAGCTGAGTAATGCACTTTTAAGTTTAGTCTTGAAAATTGAACTGTGTATGCAAAACTTTAAGTATTTAGAAAAATTCATGATGAAGGGGGTATAGTCTTTTTTTATTGCCAATGAACAAGAGATTCACTGAGACGCTCTCATGTTTGACAGGCTATTATCTTTACCATTTCATCTCATATAATATCAAATAATTATTGATATTTACTAACAGTCGTTTACCTGCATTTTCTGATTTTACAGAGCGTATATTTTGTAGTAATATATTACTGTCATCATTGTCTGAGGCTAAACTTGTATGACCATCTATTGATATCTGTTCAGCATTTTCTATAACTGTGTCTGGTCCATCAACTTCTGATGTTTCTATGGTGACAGTTTCCTGTGGTTCAAGATTGGTGATTGCTGTATGCTGAAGTTCAACAAGAACAAAATAATATTTAAATATGCTCCTTGTCACTTTACATACCAGTAATACCCCCCACTTACTAGGTTTTGTACACAGAAAAGTATATCTTTTGTAGTTTCAGAGTTATGTTTCAGACAAAGTTCAAAGTGTGATAATTCCAAACTTAGGCAAGGCAGAGTTACTGTTCTTTGGACTGCACTGCACTTCTACTCAATGAGATTTATCTACCGACTTGCTGGCACACATTGTCTCAATATGGTGATCATTTCTGTGAAATAGTTGTAAAATCCAACTTCAAATAACGAAGTTATGGGCCGGTGCTGCAAGGTCATGCTGTGACCTTCAAGGTAGCGAACCAAATATTGCATGTGACACGTCATCTCAATATAGTGACCATTTCTGTGAAATAGTTGTAAAATCCAATTTCAAATAATGAAGTTATGGGCCGGACACGATTTTGCTGCAAGGTCATGCTGTGACCTTAACCTTCAAGGTAGCAACCCAAATGTTGCGCGCAGCACGTCATCTCAATATGGTGATCATTTCTGTGAAATAATTGTAAAATCTGACTTCAAATAACAATGTTATGGGTCAGACACGATTTTGCTGCAAGGTCATGCTGTGACCTTGATCTTCAAGGTAGCTACCCAAATGTTGCGCGTGACACATCATCTCCATATGGTAATCATTTCCATGAAATAGTTGTAAAATCCGACTTCAAATAATGAAGTTATGGGCCGGACCTGAATTCGGGACTTACGTACAGACGAATGGACTGACGGACGTACAACCCAGCGACTATATGCTCCCCAGAAATTTTTGGGGAACATAAAAATGAACCAGTGGTTTAGATGTTGTTTCGATGTTGTTTTCTAATTTCAGCTCTGGCAGCCATTTTATTAAACAGTTCAGCATGTCACTAAGTGAGAGGTGAGCTAATAAAAAGATGACAGAAAAAGAAAAGGAAAACGAACAATTGACCTGGCTGGGGGTCGAACTGTCAACCTCGATCCCCTATGGCAGGGCCAATTTTGACCACAGGGGTTTTATTTCAACAAACAAGGTAGACATACACAAGAACATGTTTCATGCTAACTATCTAAGCTTTAGCTCTTTGGGATTTTCACAAGAAGATTTTTTTAAAGTTTTTACTATATACATATAAGGAAAATCAATGACCCCTAGGGCGGGCAAATTTTAACCCCAGGGCTTTCATTTGAACAAACTTCATAGACATCCACAAGAAGATGTTTTATGCCAAATATCTAAACTCTATCTCTTTTGGATTTACACAAGAAGATTTTTTAAGTTTTTACTACAAACAAGTATATATAAGGAAAGTCAATGACCACCTGGGGCTGGGCCAATTTTGACCCTAGGGCTTTTATTTGAACAAACTTGGTAGACATGCACAAATAGAGGCTTCATGCCAAATATCTTATCTATAGTACTTTTAGATTGTCACAAGAAGATTTTTTAAGTTTTTACTATATATAAATATAAGGAAAATCAATGACGCCCCCATAGGGCGGGGTAAATTTTGATCCTTGTGTTTTATTTGAATAAATTTGGTAGCCATTCATTAGAAGACATTTAATGCCAAATATCTTAGCTCTACCTGTTTTAGATTGTCACAAGAAGATTTTTTATATTATTTTTATATGTACTATTTTTTAAAACTATAATGTAAAGTAGTAGGGTTTTTGTCACAAAAACATATGTCTCCCGAAACTATGTATGGTCACCCTTGTGAAGTTTCATTGAAATCCCATCAGTAGCTTGACCTGTCAAAGCCAGACAAGATTTTTCTATTTATAGCTCTGACGGCCATTTTGTGCAGCAAAGCGGGACATGCTGATGACGTGCACAACAAGGGATGGTACTGATCACTCCTGTAAAGTTTGGTTGAAATCCCACTAGTAGTTTGACCTGTGAAGGCTGGACAAGATTTTTCTATTCATCGCCCTGGCGGCCATTTTGTGCAGCGAAGCAGAAAGTGCTGGTGACACGCACAACTAGGAATGGTACTGATCACTCCTGTAAAGTTTGGTTGAAATCCCATCAGAAGTTTGGCCTGTGAAGACCAGACAAGATTTTCCTATTTTTAGCTCTGGCGGCCATTTTGTGCAGCAAGGCAGAACGTGCCGCTGATGTGCACAACTAGGAATGGTACCGATCACTCCTGTAAAGTTTGGTTGAAATCCAACCAGTAGTTTGTTCTGTGAAGGACGGACAAGATTTTTCTATTTTTAACTCTGGCGGCCATTTTGTGTAGCCAAGCGGAACATGCCGGTGACTTGCACAACAAGGGATGGTACTGATCACTCCTGTAAAGTTTGGTTGAAATCCAACCAGTAGTTTGACCTGTGAAGGGCTGACAAGCTTCATGCGGAAGGACGGACAACGGACGGACGTGCCACTTAAATGGACTTAAGGGCCATTTCTTTTAATATTTTCTTTTGTTTAATAGAGGGCCATGGCCCGTTATTCTATTGTTACTGAATTAACTCTATTGTTCTCTTTTGTTCTGTTTACAGTTAGATGGCCCACTAAATAGCCCAGACAGACTGACAGACTGCAAAGGCAGAAACAATATGTCTCCCAAAAATTAGGAGATAACATATAAACCTATATCACATATTCAGGGAAAAAAATGAAATGAAGCCCCGTGATAGGCCGATTTTATCCAAGCTGTCTTTAAATAGTTGAAGAATCAAAAGCCTTGGTAGAAAATCCCACTAGAAGATGTTTCATGCCTAATATCTAAGCTCTAGCTCTGTCGATTTTTTAAGATTTTTGGAAAAAAAATGATTTGGTTGCCATGGCAACCAGAGTTGTTTTTGGAATTTAATTCTTTGAACAACTTTAGTAGAGCTTCATGCAAAGAACATTCCTGCAAAGTTTCAACAAATTTGGCCAAGTGGTTTAGGAGGAGAACGTGTTTAAAGTAATTGTTGACACACGGTCTGACAGATGGATGGACAGACAGACAGACGGATGTTCTAATGGGACAGTAATAATGTGGCTTCTCTATTGTTCTCTCTATTGTTCTTTTTTGCCACCAAAAAGAAAATAGCCACATAAAAGCATTACGGAACGAATGACATCAAAGAGAAAGAACAGTTAACTATTGTCCCTCTAGCCACATTATTACTGTCCCGTGAGAGCGGACTGACAGACAGAGGCCATTCCTATAATCCCCTTTCTGCTACGCAGAAGGGGATTAAAAATGTCAGCAATGATTTAAAATAGACTGTTATATGTTAGATTAATCAGAAACTTATTTTAGAATATAAACCTGAGCCATTTGTATAGTTTGTACAATGTCTGGTCGTCCATTCATTATTGCTATATCAAGAGGTGTTTTTTCAAACTTATTTTCACAAGTCATATCTGCCCCAGATTTCAGCAAAACTTCTATAACATCAAGGTGACCTTTTTCTGTGGCCCAGTGCAAAGGGGTCATCTTCAGCTGAAAACATACACAATAAACTCTTGTTACCTTTTCTACAATACAAGACCATCTTCATTGCTGAATCAAAGATAACATACTCTATAAGATTTTTTGTATTAAATCCTTTATCTTATTTCCTAAAAGTATAAAGTAAAGCCAAACAAGTATCCCACCATGACTCTGAATTGCTTATTTTCAAATAGAAGAACACTAGAGCACATTAATTTTATCATTTATTCTATATGATTATATACAGACACTAAACGGTACACAGTAACTAGAGAACATCTTGAAAACTATTTATAATATTATGTTTTGTTTTCAGTTTTAACAGAAGTCTCCAAAATTATAATTTTCACTAGTAAAGGTCTGGTATAGACATGCATGTCTTATTGCTTAAATGTATGGTCAAACAAAAATAGTTACTTTTGCAGGAAATCATTCTAATGTTACCTTCTTAGGACATTCTATACATTAATGTTTACTTGCATATGGTTTAACAGATTTAAACAAAACTTCCAGCTTCAACTGTCCCAGTATCATTCAAAATTGGACATCGAAGAATAAATAAACTGGATTTTTAATTCATAAAGTGTTAACTTTGTTATTCCAGGTATGTACTTTTATTACATTTCATAATTCATTAAAGTTTATATAACTTATTTTAGATATGTAAATTAATATAATTTGTTAGGTACAATGTAATAGTTAAACATTATAATTATTTATATTGTTAAAATGGTACCTCTTATGCAAAGTAAGTAATTAATAAAGCTAATTTCCCCATATTTGTTAATTAAAAGATCAAAGTATTGTTAATTTAGATATTGTATTCTTATAATAGTTTATTTTATAATTTTATAAAATGTTATTGTTACGATCATTCAAAATTGGACATTGAAGATTAAACTGGTGATGTTAACAAGGTTTTTCTATTTTTAGCTCCTGTGACTTAGTTTTTCATCCGAGATGACCCATGTTGAACTCATCTGAGCTATCAACTAGGTAAGCATCCTAACCAAGTTTGATGATGATTGAGGCAAAATGTGACTGCTAGAGTGTTTACAAGGTTTTTCTATTTTTGGCTCCCGTGACATAGTTTTTCATCAGAGATGACCCATGTTCGAACTCATACGAGCTATCACCTAGACAAGCATCCTGACTAAGTTTAATGATTATTGAGGCAAAAATGTGACCGCTAGAGTGTTAACAATGTTTTTTTATTTTTAGCTCCTGTGACCTAGTTTTTCATCTGAGATGACCCATGTTCGAACTCATCCAAGCTATCACCTAGACAAGCATCCTAACCAAGTCTTCTGATGATTGAGGCAAAAATGTGACCCCTAGAGTGTTAACAAGGTTTTTCTATATTTGGGCGGTGTGGCCTAGTTTTTGACCCCAGGTAACCTATTTTCGAAATTTGACCTTAATCATCAAAACAAACTTTTAGACCAATTTACAGGATATTTGAATCAAAACAGTAGCCACTAGAGTGTGAACAAGATTTTTATATTTTTAGCTCCTGTGACCTAGTTTTTCATTAGAGATGACTTATTTTCGAACTGTTCCGAAAATTACCTAGACAAGCATCTTGACACAGTTTGATGATGATTGAGGCAAAAACGTGACCGCTAGAGTGTTAACAAGGTTTTTCCATATTAGGGCAGTGTGACCTAGTTTTTGACCCCAGGTAACCTTTATTCGACCATGACCTAGAAATCAAACTTTCAGATCAATTTCCAGGAAATTTGGATCCACTAGAGTGTTTGCAAGATTTTCCTTTTTTTAAGCTCTGAGACCTAGTTTTTCATCAGAGATGACCCATGTTCGAACTCATCCGAAAATCACCTAGACAAGCATCTCGACACAGTTTGATGATGACTGAGGCAAAAATGTGACCACTAGAGAGTTAACGAGCAAACATTTGATATTTATGAGCTTCATTCCGTAGTTAAATAAAGAACAAAAGCTCATAAAATTGTGAGCTATTTTTTGTTTTTTATGAGTTTATGGACTTATGTCCAGGTGTAGTTTATGAGCTTATTGCCTCTTAAATATCAAAAGTTGTGTCCGAACAAATGTGGACAGACGACGGACATTCAACAATCCTAAAAGCTCACCCTAAGCTTAGGTGAGCTAATAAAAGTTAATACTATACCATGTCTTTTGCATCTATGTCAGCAGCATGCTGGAGTAAGATATTCACAATATCTACATGTCCTTCCTGGGCTGCCACATGTAATGGTGTTCTATCCACCTTTGTGCGTGCATCTCGGCTTATTCCAGCTCTCAATAAAACTTCAGCAGTAGCAACATGACCATACTGTGCTGAGAAATGCAGAGGTGATGTTCCCAACTGTAATACATAATAATATGCCATGATTGCCCTTGACCACTCATCTGAGATCCATTGCTAGAAAAGGTCATTAATCTTCAATGCAAAAGCAGGTCAACTTTTTAAAGTAAATTTCACATTCTATCTATAATAATGATAATTCTACAGTGTAATGATATATCTAAAATAACAAGCAAATTCATTGAATTTATATCCCCAGCCAGGCACTAGTTATTACTAACACAACAACTGAAGACATAAGGCTTTATATATATATTTATCATGGCATAAACAGTTATATTCTTTGTACTTATTAAATATTCAGGGCATTACAGAGCCATAATAATAGTAATATCTGGACATGCCAATGAGATGTAAATTGCCTTTGTGTATCTATGGTTGCCATAAAGTTTTGTTGAAATCAATACAGCAGTTGCAAGAAATAGCAATATCAATGCTCTATATGCATACTACATAACTAATCAAGGACCACAACTCTGTAATGAAGGGTCTGGTCTGAACAACTTCAACAATTGACCAGAACAAGCCAACTATATGTGCATCTCCTCTTGATATTGATGATTCCCATAAACTTTTGTTGAATTCCAGCCAGTAGTTGCAGAGAAGTAGCGCAGAAACGAATATTGTTCTATATGCATACTGCATAACTAATCAGGGGCCATAACTCTGAGTTAAAGTGTCTGACCGGAACAAGGCTACGATATGAGCATCTCCTCTTGGTATTGAATGTTCCCATAAAGTTTCATTGAATTCAAGCCAGTAGTTGCAGAGAAGTTGCGCGGAAACGAATATTGTTCTATATGCATACTGCATAACTAATCAAGGGCCAAAACTCTGCATTAAAGTGTCTGACCGGAACAAGGCGACTATATGCACATCTCCTCTTGGTATTGAAGGTTCCCATAAAGTTTCGTTGAATTCCAGCCAGTAGTTACAGAGAAGTAGCACAGAAACAATTATTGCTCTGGTTGCATACTGCATAAAAAATTAAGGGCCATAACTCTAAGTTAAAGTGTCTGACCCGAACAAGGCGATGATATACCCATCTCCTCTTGGTATTTAAGGTTCCATAAAATTTCATTGAATTCCAGCCAGTAGTTGCAGAGATTAGTAGTGCGGAAACGAATATTATGTTCTATATGCATACTGCATAACTAATCAAGGGCCATAACTCTGAGTTAAATTGTCTGACTGGAACAAGCTGACAATATGCGCATCTCCTCTTGGTATTGAAGGTTCCCATAAAGTTTTGTTGAATTCCAGCCAGTAGTTGCAGAGAAGTAACGTGGAAACGATTTTTAACTCTATATGCATACTGCATAACTAATCAAGGGCCATAACTCTGAGTTAAAGTGTCTGACCGGAACAAGGCGACGATATGCGCATCTCCTCTTGGTATTGAAGGTTCCCATAAAGTTTCATTGAATTCCAGCCAGTAGTAGCAGAGAAGTAGCGCGAATACGATTTTTACTCTATATGCATACTGCATAACTAATCAAGGGCCAAATTTTAACTCTGAGTTAAAGGGTCTGACCAGAACAAGCTGTTGCTATGCGCATCTCCTCTTGATATTGATGATTCCCATAAAGTTTCGTTGAATTCCAGCCAGTAGTTGCAGAGAACTAGTCCGGAAACGAAATTCGGACGGACGGATGGACGGACGTTCTAACACTGGAGAGTATTATGTGGCTAGTCTATTGTTCTCTCTATTGTTCTTTATAGCCACACAAAAGAAAATAGCCACATAAAAGCATTACGGAATGAATGACATCAAAGAGAAAGAACAGTTACCTATTGTCCCTCTAGCCACATAATTACTGTCCTTTGAGTGCGGACGGACAGATTGAGGACGGATGGACAACGTCAAAACAATATCCCCAGATCTATCGGCGGGGGATAATAATATTTAATGTTATAATACCAAGATATACCACAAAGCTCTAAGACATGAAGTTTTAGAGTAGAAAATAATGTGTTTACAAGTTCAGTCTATGTAAATCAAGAACTGTTCACAGAGCAGGCATGATTTGCATAACTTCTGCAGAGAACCACATGTATGTCTCCTTTGCAAGTCAATGTAACACATGTGCTCCCATAGGGGGCCTGATTCTGACATGTGCTCCCATAGGGGGCCATTCTGACCACAGAGCCATGACAAAACAGTTTCAAGCTGATGCTTAATGCAAAACATCAAAGTTCTGGCCATTGTACTTTATTCAAGAAAATTTAAATGTGTTTAATTAAACTTACACAAGTCCATGTAAAACTATGTTACTAATAAGGTGAAGCCAATTTTGACGCCGATATATATATATGTATACATGTATACATACATGTATACAACTTTTTGTAGTGGATGCCAAATATCTTAGCTCAAGCAAGAGAAGGTTTTAAAAATTTCATATCTCCTTTTGCTACTATTATCTTGTGCAACAGCCTAGAACCATACATGCCATAACGTCCCCAAGGTCCCCGAGCTACCAACTAGATAAGCATCCTGACAAAGGTTGATGATGATTGAGGCAAAAATGTGACTGCTAGAGTGTTAACGAACAAGTGTGGACAGACGACGGACGATGGACATTCAATGATCCTAAAAGCTCACCCTGAGCTAGCTCAGGTGAGCTAAAAAACAAAAGTTCATTATTCATCAATTTTTATGGAGCATAATAATACATTAGAAACCTATGAAACAAGGGGATTTTGTCCAGCCTTGCAAAAACATAAAGGAGATTATGTCCACCTTGTCCGGGTATGCGGAGGGGATTTTGTCTGAAGGGGATTATGTCCATACACCATATTTTTTTTTCCATTGGCATAAGTAATAGAAAGAGCATCGAAACACGTAGCCCCCGAGTATAAATCAGATTGCCGAGTGTTTTGATGTTCTTTCTTTTTTGTATCATTATAGTCAAATATAAAAACAAGTTCCCTGTTGTCACAAAATGAAACCCCAGAAAATAGTAACCAATGAACGAGCATCTGAATGTGATATTTCTGTCGCTTTCTCTCTCTCTGCCGTCACAATATGTAAACCCCAGCAAAAATGAACCAATCAATGAGCATGCTCTGGAGTGCGGGTAACTGATACCTGCAGTCCAGTTATCACACTGTGCATGTATATGTACATGATTTAACTCTGACACATTTTCAACAGAAAGGTCCCCAAACTATGATACAAGCGTGTTTGTATGTCGCTTCAGCACATTCTTGACAGGCATAATCATGAATAATAAGTACTTTGCTAAAACCTGTAAGTGCATATTTATTCACGTAAATATGAAAGGATTACTCCCCTGTGAAGTTAAGATAAATAGAATATTAAATGATGAAAAGAGGTTTAAATTAACTAAAATTAAATGTTCAAAACATTTATAATGTGCCTTGCAACAATTTAAAAGTGACTTTGTTTTTAACGACATTCGTGTAAAAGTAACCTTGTAAAACATCTCAGAAAGGTATATTTTGAATGACAGGTGGTTCTAGCTCATACACAAACTTAAGCCAATACGATTCCTGATCAGTGCCCCACCTTAAAATGAAAAGTATCCCGGAAATTAGCCTAAAAATTATGGCATGTATGCTAGAACCTATTACATACTATAAACCCAATATGTTATTTGAGACCAATCAATATTCACCTATTGGAGTGAAAACTAGACCTATCACTGAAGGTGATTAATACCCCCACCAGCAACTTTTTGAAAAATAAGTAGTCTGAAGAAAAATTTCAACACAAACTATCAACTGTGTACAAAGAAATATTTCAATTAATTGTAATCCCAACTGGGGTCTCCAAATAAGCTTGCTTTTCACAAAGTTTGATTACAATATCTCATTCCTAACTCTAGTTATTGTCCGGAAACCATTTTTCTATTTTTAGAAATGGTGACCTTGACCTTGACCCCAGGGGGTCCAAATGCAATACCAACCCAGGTCTTCATATAAGCTTGCTATACACCAAGTTTGATAACAATATCTCATTCCTAACTCTAGTTATTGTCAGGAAACCATTTTTCTATTTTTAGTAACGGTGACCTTGACCTTGACCCCAGGGGGTCCAAAAACAATACCAACCCAGGTCTTCATATAAGCTTGCTATACACCAAGTTTGATTGCAATATCTCATTCCTAACTCAAGTTATTGTCCGGAAACCATTTTTCTATTTTTAATAACGGTGAACTTGACCTTGACCCCAGGGGGCCCAAATGCAATACCAACCCAGGTCTTTATATAAGCTTGCTATACACCAAGTTTCATAACAATATCTCATTCCTAACTCTAGTTATTGTCCGGAAACCATTTTTCTATTTTTAGTAACGGTGACCTTGACCTTGACCCCAGGGGGTCCAAATACAATACCAACCCAGGTCTTCATATAAGCTTGCTATACACCAAGTTTGATTACAATATCTCATTCCTAACTCAAGTTATTGTCCGGAAACCATTTTTCTATTTTTAGTAACGGTGACCTTGACCTTGACCCCAGGGGGTCCAAATGCAATACCAACCGGAGTTTCCACATAAGGTTGCTATATACCAAGTTTGATTACAATACCTCATTCCAAACTCTAGTTATCGTCCGGAAACCATGATTTGGACCGACCGACCGACCGACCAACCGACAAGCTGACTCCTATATACCCCCCCTAAACTTCGTTTGTGGGGGTATAATAAGTTTGCACAAATAAGCCCTTCTGAATAAACTTGTGAAAAAACAAGATTGCATTTGAGAAAAATGCTATGCCACCGCATTAATACAACACTAAATAGTAGTGTTGGAACAAATTTTTTTGTTTCTATACAATTTTGAAGATTGTCATAATGCATAGATCCCTGACCTATCTTATTCTTATTATCAGATTAGTGGTTAAATCTGTTGTTAACTCAATAAAAGATCAGAGTAGGAATATATCAATGCACTCGAGTCTAGTGAATTTGGTGGTGAAGGTCATATTTCACACAGCCTACATCAAAGAACAACACAGTAAGACACTTT